TGGAACGGGATGCTCCCCCGAAAACTCAGCTATGAAGTCTGCCAATATTTGACCTTTTATCGCAGTTCGGGGTTTGAAATGAATGTCGTGCTCCCCCAACTCTACTGCCCACTTGGAAATCCTTCCGGAGAGTTCCGCTTTCCTCAAGATTGCTTTCAAGGGCTGATCGGTAAGGACAGTGATTGGGTGCGCCTGGAAATAATGCCGCAGTTTCCTTGCAGTGGTGACCAGGGATAGAGCCAGTTTCTCTAGGGGTAGATATCTTGTCTCTGCGTCCAGGAGCGCCTTGCTTATATAGTAAATCGGCTTCTGGCGGTGCTCATGCTCACGGATAAGTACCCCGCTTACCGCAAACTCAGATACTGCCAGGTACAAGAACAACATCTCCCCCTGGATGGGGACGGACAAGGTTGGAAGAGTCCTTAGGTATTCCTTGATTCCAGCCAGGGCGTCCTCGCACCCCTGGCTCCACATATTCTTCCCAGCACTCTTGATTGCTCCGAAAAAGGGTTTGCATTTGTCCGAGGAGCGTGAGACGAAACGGTTAAGTGCAGCCAGCATCCCTGTGAGTTTCTGGACTTCTCGGACAGTGCGGGGGCTCCGGATGTCCAGGATCGCTTGAATCTGATCTGGGTTGGCTTCGATTCCCCGTTGACTAACCAGGTATCCGAGGAATTTACCTGATTCCACTCCAAAAACGCACTTTGCCGCATTCAGCTTCAGCCCATACTCTCTGAGGGTGGAGAAGGTATCCGCCAAATCTGTTAGATGATCACAACTCCGTTTGCTCTTCACCAGCATATCGTCTATGTAGACCTCCATGGTGTTGCCGATCTGCTTTTTGAACATCCGATTCATCAGTCTTTGGTATGTTGCCCCAGCGTTCTTTAGTCCAAACGGCATCACTTTGTAACAGTAAACTCCCTTCGGAGTGATAAACGCCGTCTTTTCTTGATCCGGGGCATAGAGAGGGATCTGATGATATCCTGCTCGGGCATCCAGGAAGTCCATTCGTTCATATCCGACTGTGGCATCTACCAGCTGGTCCACCTTTGGCAGGGGGTAGTCATCCTTGGGGCATGCCTTGTTTAGATCTGTAAAGTCTACGCAGACACGCCATTTCCCCCTTTTCTTATTTGCGCACACCGTATTAGATAGCCATTCTGGGAATTGTATCTCTCGAATGACGTCGGCCTTCAGGAGTTTGTCGATTTTCTCGTTGACCGCGCTGGTGTGATGCGGGGCCATGCGTCGTGGCCTCTGTTTGACTGGCTTGTGCGACGGGTCAACATGCAGCCTGTGTGTGATTATCTCGGGGTCTACCCCCGTCATTTCCATCTCGTTCCACGCGAACACGTCTGTATTCCCCCTTAGGAACTTGATCATCTCCTCTTGTTCGGCTGTGGGCATCGAGGTTCCAACTAGGAAATACCTCTCTTCTTCTCCTTCTATCAAGGGCACCTTCCGGAGGTCTTCCACTGACCGCTCAGTTGGGTCTATCCGGGGGTCATCCATTCCTGGACACCCGGACTGTAATTGCTATTTTTCCATAATCTCTTCCGGTGCTCGCCCCTTCTCCTGGCTGGACGCCCCGGCTCGAACGGCTGAATAAAAACAGTTTTTCGCGGACGCTTGGTCCCCCCGGATCTCCATGATACCTTCTGGCGTGGCGAATTTTAATTTCTGGTGGAAAGTGGAGTGCACCGCTCCCAACGCATGCAGCCATGTTCGCCCCATAATCACGTTGTAGGGAGAGTCCGTATCGATCACAACAAACTCGGTGTCGATGATAAAGGGACTAGTGGCAACTGGCAATGTGATTTTCCCCACGGGCAAGGCGAATGAGCCGTTGAACCCGATGAGGGGTGTCCTGACTTTGGTGAGGTCTTTGGGGCCAAGACCCATCCGTTTCAAAGTTTCGAAGTACATCACCTCCGAGGAGCTTCCAGAGTCTATCAAAATTCTTTTGACATCGAATTTCCCTATCCTTAGGGTCAAGACAAGGGCGTCGTTATGGGGAGTCACTACGCCTGTCAAATCCGCGTCGGAGAATGTAATGCCAAGCTCACCCGTCCTGGCCCTTTTACTTGGTGGCCCTACATCACCCTCGGCTACCTTCCTCGTAAAAGCTACCCTCTTGAGGTCGGACTCGAGTTCCTTGGACGTGGGGCGATCCAGGGGACATATATGAATGACATCTATGATGTTGTCCGGTTCCTCGGTCGGGGCAAGGGCTCGTCTCTCTTCTGGCCTGGGCTCTATGTACTCTTTCAAATGTCCGTCTCGGACCAAGCTTTCCAAGAACGATTTGAACACCCTGCAGCTTTCGGTGCGATGCCCGAAATCCCGGTGATAGGAACACCTAACCTTTTGATCACGGGTGGAGGGGTCGCTCTGCATCCTGGGCGGCCATTTGAAGAACGGCTCGTGCTTGATTTTATGGAGCAACTTGAAGATGGGTTCCTTGAAAACAGTGTGAACTCCTCTGGACGAACCCCCTGGAGGGGGTAGCAATCCCTTTCGGGGAATATCTTCCCGCTCCTTCTCTTTTCTTTTAGATTGGAGGGCTCGGCCTTTGCTGCTTCCCATCTCGTCCTCAACCCTCGAGTACTTGTTTATCCGGGCCATTAGTTCCCCCATGTCCGAGGGAGTCTTCTTGGTCAGGGATCGGTACAGGTCCGTGTCCCTTGCCAAGCCGAGCCGAAAAGATGCTGCTGCCATGACCTCCGAGCAGCCTTCTATCTCATTAACCTCTTCCCAGTATCGGATGGCGTACTGGCGAAGAGTCTCGGATTCCCTCCGTCTGAGGGTCAGCAATGATCCAATGTCTTTGGGGCGCTTACTCCCCGTAATGAATCGAGCCAGGAACTGCCTAGTCAATTCCTTCCAGGACCCAATACTGTTTGGGGGAAGCGCCTCGAACCATTTCATCGCAGAGTCCCCCAAGCTCATAGGAAACACTCGGCAGAGAAACCGTTGGTCCGAATGATAGAGGGACATCATCTGCTTGTATTGCCTGACATGGGCTTCGGGATCGGACCGCCCGTCATAAGTTTTGAACCGCGGCACGACAAACTTTCTTGAAACCTCCATCTCACTGATCTCCCTCGTAAAGGGTGTTTGTATGACTTCGTCCTCGGCCTCATCCTGGACAGCCTTACCCTTTCTCCTGGAGTCTAACCGGGCTCTGAGATCAATCTCTTCCCTGACGGGATGCCTTCTGAAGTCCTTGAGTTCATCGGTAAGCCCCTCATTTCCTGGGCGTCGTGTGGATTGGGTTGAGTCCTCCTCGGATTCATCTCCCTTCCTCCGTCTGGACAAACCTCGCCGGAGGTCGTCCAGGGCCAATGGCCTTGCTTTCCTTGAATGGTTGTCATGATGATGCTCCCGGCTCTGGGTCGCTTTGGGGCCCTAGAGCTTTCTGCTTTGTTGTTTAGGTGGTTTCTTAGATCCTTCGTTTCCGCCTCCCGGGCGGGAAGCCCACGAGACAGGAATGAATCCCTCGATCCTTCGCCAGAGGCGGCAAACTCGTTGAGCCGGCTTAGGACGTTTACATTGTCCTTTTCCAGCTGACGTAATCTATCGCCAAATTTTTCTTCAATCACCTCCGCCAGCTGACGAGCCAAGGGGGCTGATCCCTCTGACCTGATTCCCATACTGGTTTGAGGGGTAACCCCTCTTGACCGAGTAGAGGCACTTTTATTCGAATTGGTGTGATCCCTTCCTCCGTGATGACAGGGAGCTTGTAACTCGAGACTCCTTTGGTGGGGTCCTTTCCCTTTCTGTCGAGTGTTCACCATGGTCACTGTTCTTTATAGAGAAAAAAAACTAGGAAAACTAGTCGTTTCCCACAGACGGCGCCAGATTGTGCGTGCAAGATCCTGCACAATATAAAAAATGAGAACAGATCTCTCCCTTGGTGAACTTGAGTGAGCCGGTTGAGTGACCAAACACGCTGCTTGGAACAGCCTGCGAGGTCTGGTGGTAACCTGGAACGGCAATGGGAGACCCTGGGAACGGAAGAACGATCCAGTAAAGCTGAAAGAGGTTCCTGGAACAAAGAAGAACAAGTTAGAAGGGCGCCGGAGTGTTTTCCGGCGTATCCCCTCCGACGATCTAGTCAGTCTTTTAGAAAGAGAGAGGAAGGATAAAACACTGAGTGAGTGTTGTAGTAAAGAGTTTTTTGTTGCATACCCGTCTTTCCTTTTGCAATGAGTATTTATACCTTAAAAGCTCATGATTGCTGTCAGTGTAGTCAGTAGATGATCATTAGGTACAGGCAGTGTGTGCACTGATTCTGATGAGGAATGTCTTCTCTTCTTGACTGCTCGGGGTTCCGAGCAATCAATGCTGGGTCATCGGGATGCCGACGGTACAATGTACTACTCTCGGGGAGGATGCAATAAATGCTCTGTATTAGGAACATTTATTGCCTTTCATTTTCGAGCCTTACCGCATTGAATGCGGTCTCATCAAAGGAATGGTGTAATTAATAGTTTGCTTTTCCAAGTCGCGTGTCAGCAACGGCATGCGGTTTCTCTGTCTTCGATGTGATATTATATGCCACGTGTCCATCCCTTATTGGCTGTGACCCCTGCATTCCAGTACGTTCTGACACTAATTGTGTAAGACTAGGTCATGATGAATAGCCTAGACTAGCCTAGGCAAATGACTTGTACGTCAATAGCTTATCCTGGAGTAGAGGAGGCGTTCAGGACGGGGTACCTCTCGGCACCGAGGAAAGGCTCATCTCGGAACCGAGGGAGGTATGCCGACCGAGATACTATATCAGACCGAGGCCACGTGTCGGTTGTAAAACATACTGAATGCATGATCCTATATGATGGGTACCTCGGGGGCGAGGACCTTGTGCGCCGATGGTGCTTGATCTTAGCAACAGTGTTTTGGTAATACCGAAGACACGTGTCTTTATCATGGAACATTTCAAAAAAGTCCCATCAGTCTGCATGCTTTGCTTCCTTAGCATCAGCCCAAAAGTTATGTCCCAACCTCCCTGTGACTGCCCAAACACAACAGTTTACAATCCGAACAGCACCTATAGAGCCAACGTCAACTTCCTACTCTCCACTCTCACCTCTAACGCCACCGTTGCCACCGGTTTTTACAACTGCACTGCCGGCCGTGACCCACCAAACATAGCCTACGGCCTCTTTCTCTGCCGCGGCGATGTCACACCAAATGATTGTCAACAGTGTGTGACCACTGCTAGTTGAGAAATTCTGCAACTGTGCCCTAACAGGTCTAGATCAATCGTTTGGTACGACAAATGTTTGTTACGTTTCTCAAACCAACCTATCGTCCTCCTTTCCGAACAAAACATCATGATAACTTCTTCTAATCCTGAAACCATTACGGATCAAGTAGAGAAGTTTAAGCAGTTGTTGGGAGAGATGATGAATGAGATAGCCACCGAGGCTTCAAATGATCAATCGGGCAAGAAGTTTGGTACCAAACAAGCCAACTTCACGGCACTGCAAAACCTGTATGGACTTGTGCAATGCACACCTGATTTAACGGGTTCTGATTGCAATATTTGCCTTCAAGATGCAATCTCAACTCTCACAAGTTGCTGTGATAGGAAGAGGGGCGAGAGTTTTGTTTCCAAGCGGTTATGTTAGGTATGAAACCTACCCCTTCTTCCAATCTGTAACTAGTCCACCACCGCCACCGCCAACTTCAACGCCAGCCCGTCCTCCTCCCAGTTCTGCAAGCAGTGACGGTAAGCTCCAGACCCTGTCCAGTTTCTTGCATTTATTTTATATATAGAGAGAGAGAAGAGAGGGAGAGACAGGACGACTACTACAAGGTACTGTCCAAAAGGCAAGAGGTAGTTAAGCCACGGCGAATTTATTCTTTTATAGATATTCTACTCTTGGTATGGGTGATTTAATTTTAATTAAATTAAGAAAAAAATTAGTTAAATATAGCATAAATTGACTTGAACACCTTAATTATTAAAAAAATAAATAAATAATAAGGTGTTATGGTAAGTTATACTTTTAAGAGGTTGTTTGTTTGAGATATAAAGGTGGTATAAAGCAGTGGTATAAGAAATATAATACGTGAGACTTATCTTATACTTTGTTTGTTTGACATTTTTTACTCGGTATTAATTTCTAGGTCATAGTACTAACCCAGTGTGAACAGTAACTCTTGTGCCTTGTATATGATACTAAGCAATACCACCTATCCAGTGGTATAATATTCTCGATATAAATTTCATGGAGGTATAATATAATAAAAAGACTTAAATGCCCTCATGTACAATGTTCCATAGAAAAGCCGCATACAATTTTTGACTTTTTATAAGGTTACAATTGTCTTTTTACATTCTATAGTTACAATTTTTGACTTTTTAAAGTAAGTATTACACTAATAATGTTTGTCACAAACAAACAAGGGGAAGGAAGAGATTATAGTTTAACACCGAGTATAATATACCATTGGATCGAAATGGAATAGATATAAAATCTTATACCACCTAAATCATATACCAGAAACAAACAGGCCCTAAGAGTTATATCTCAAATAGTTATAATTGATTATAAAATAGTGATTAATTATGAGAAATATAATTTTCAAAGTATTAAATGTATTAATGATTGGTGAATTTACACCAACTAAATTATTCATTCTCATAAAAGATTCAAATTAAAAATTGTATAATTAAAAAAAAAAAACATTTTGATAAAATTGTTACTTGTAACAAGTAAAATATAACAAAAAAATTAGTTGAAAATTGCAAACATAACCAAGTAAAAGATTCTTAAAAAGTGAAAAAAAAATAGTGAAATAATTCAACAAAAAAATGAAAATGAATGCATTTCTAATAATAATCAATGAACATTTAGTCTAATAGTACTATTTAACTTGCGAAAACTTCGTCTTTTTGATATCAAATGTTTAAATCCCCTTCCAAAAAATAAAATGAAATTATAGTCAATCCCCTAATACTATAATTTCGATGAATCGTATACAAAATAAAAAAGAATTGGTGCCACCACCATAGCTACAGTGACACATGCATCACCGGAGTACATCACAATATTTTGGGGGCACCAAATTGGTTTTGTGGTTGAAATAGGTTCTGGGTATGAAGGAGTTCATGAGTTTTTTTGGTTGGTGGGTTGGAGGAAAAAGGAAGGGAGACGGTGGTGGGTTTGATTAGGTTAGTGGGAGGCAATGATGGCTGGGAAGTGTGTTGGTGGTGTAGTGTGTGTGCGTGTGTGATAGATTGGTGGGGGTGTTCCTTGTCGAATAAACAGGAAAGAGTTGGGATATATATATATATATATATATTGGTCATAATTCGTGTTTAAAGGTACAATTGAATATAAAATTTGAATACACAAAAAATCGATTACACTATATAAAATAATAATTTTTTTCCTTCATTTTTTTGAATACATCATTTAAAATTTATTTTTATCTATTATTTTTTTAAAAATATTAACAATTTTCTCATAATACATAATTTCACAAAATTTTCTTAACATGTGTACATTATCGTGTATAGATAATGTCGAAAATAAAAATTATGTTAAACAACAAATTAATCAAATATTAAATGATTGAACATGTAATGAAAATAGATGATGTGATGTTTTTTAGAGAAAAAATATATAAAAGATAAAATTCAAGTTGGTAGGTGTTTGATTTTATATATATATATATATATATATATATATATATATATATATATATATATATAAAGAGAGAGAGAGAAGGATGCTATGAATGAAAATTTCCAGAGAAGATTGGTATACATAAGTATGCATTTGTGTCTAGATATAGAGGGCGGAGAAATTGGCTTTTGAGATGTGATTATTGTACGTACTGAGAGTTGAAGATGGGAAGAAGAGGGCGGTGGGGCAATGATGAGCTTGGGTATGACAGAAAATGGAGAAGAAAATTTTTGAATGAAGGAGACGGAAGGGTATTATAGTTTTTTATTGATTTTCATTACACACATGAGACCGGCGTTACTACTGACAAAGGATATCAGTGTTATTTTTCATACATAAGAGGGTTTTATTGTGGATGTAATTTACCCTAAATTTTGATGTCTCTGAGTGGTCGTGATTGAATATTAAATGAGAGCCTTATTTGGTGGGATCAAGTTGTGTGTCTGATGTAGGAGGTGGAGAGTGTTATACCCATAATTTCTTCAACTATTCAGAAACACAGACATTAACTAATCTGAATTTTCAGTGGTCGGTCTTGGTGTAGGAGTAAGGTACAATACGAGTCATGGAAATAGACCTTTTTTTTGGCATGCATTATGGTAAGATTTCGAGATCCCTCCACACACAACAATAGCATGAATCTCGTGTACATAGTTATCAAATCGTGTATCGGAAGGCGTATCGTAAGATACAAATATTGCATCGTATCGTGTATCGTATCGTGTATCGTAAGATACGATGCAATTTTAAATAAATAATAAAAAAATATATATACCTTTGAAAAAAAGTCATACACTCATAAAAAATATAGCATTTCATTAATAGTCCACCAACTATTCAAGTTATCAACTTAATCCACTACTATTATAATGCAAAGTTCACAACCATAGTTCACTAATTCAAACTTTAAACACCAAAGAGACTTCTAATCCAAATTTCTAACATCCATTTTGAACTCAATCTTCAATTTCAATTGAAAATGCATCATCATCATCATCATCATTGTGATCGGATGCCAACAAGTCTTCACTTCCTTTATCATCTTCAACTTCTTGTATTTGTTCATCCTCATCCTCATCCTCATCCTCATCTTCAAGTTGTACTATTTGCTTTCCTTTTTTCTTGTATAAAGTAAGATTTCTAGGCCCTACAAAGCAACCAATACAAAATATAAAAAAAATAAAATTCAAAGTAATGGAGAAGAAGAAAAAACAACCACTACATTTTAATTACCTCTCTTTCTCTTTTTGCTAGTCCCTTCTTGAACCTCAAAACATTCACCAACATTCATCCAAGTAGTGTCCTCAGGAAGGAGTGCATCTGCTTTTTCAGTGATCCACTCATCATCAGATTCCATATATGAGAGAGAAATAGGATCATATGAATCATCCTCTAATATTCTCTTTTGGTGTCTTGCCTCCAATCGAAGATTGTACTTCACAAACACAAGTGCACTTAATCTTTGTTGCTCTAATCGATTTCTCCTCTTAGAGTGCACCTGGTCAAATGTACTCCAATTCCTCTCACATCCAGTGGCACTACAAGTCAAGCTAAGGACGCGGATAACAAGTTGTTGCAACTCTGGACAACATCCTCCAAATGATTCCCACCACAAGGCTATAAAAAATTACAATAGAATACTCCATTAACTAACTTAAGCAGTTGCATTCAAATAACTAACTTAAGTTAAGTTACCACTAACCAGGTTGTTTCTTCTTCCTCATTTGGATTGCCATGTCCATTCCAAACATCAAATCAACATTATGAAAGATATCTAATTGTTTATCAACTTTTTCTCTCATAATAGGACTTGGGCACATTCTCTGAATAGTCTGATATAGTCTCATCTTTATCTCATAGTCCACATTACCGGTGTAATGAAACCTGAAATAATTATTTTGATTTACAATGATCATTGATCAGCATACAATATATAGATATAAAATGATATAAAAATTGAGAAAATTAAGTCTTACGCGGGATTGAGATAATAGGCAGCTGCATGAAGAGGTCTGTGCAATTGCATGTTCCATCTAGTGTCAACAATAGTCCATATGGGCTCATAGTGCTTCTTCACATTACGAAAATTCTTTTGGATTTGTTCCTTTGCCTTGTCCATTGCCTCATAAATATACCCCATGGCAGGCTTTAGATCCCCATCTACAAGCCTCAACACCTTCACCAATGGCAACACACACTTCAAGCAATACTTGATTGATCCCCAAAAATTTTGGTCAGCTAGTATAATATCCATCACTTTTACACCATCTCCCTTCTTACAATATTGATTTCTCTGCCATTCCTCAGAAGCAAACATTGCTCTAAGCCCAATTTTATTTTCAAATAAACTCCTTAAAGTTAAATATGAGGTGGCAAATCTGGTCACACAAGCTCTCACCAAATCCCTTTTCTTTGTATACTTTCTCATAAGATTTAACACCCAAGAATGTCTATAAATGTAAACTGTGATTTTCCTTGCCTTTGACATTATATCCTTGTGCAGAGGAAGGTCCCCAATATCCGTCAAAATGAGATCTAGACAATGTGCACCGCAAGGAGACCAAAACAATTTTTTCTTCTTTGCCATTAACAACTCCCCAGCTTTTACATAAGCCGATGCACTATCAGTTACAACCTGAACAACATTATCCTCACCAATCTCTTCTACCATTGAATCTAAAAGCTCAAAAAGATTATCCGCATTCTTACAAATACCTGAAGTATCAATACTTTTAAGAAACACACTTCCTCTAGGACTATTCACTAAAAAATTAGTGATAGAGCGATGTTTCCCATCAGTCCATCCATCAGACATAAGAGTACAACCCGTCCTTCTCTACTCTGCTTTATAATTTTTCATCAACCCACCATTAATCAAATTTGTTTCTTTTTTCAAAAAAGAACATCTCACCTCATGATACGA